GCAATAAAATAAAAAACCAAAAAAGCACTCTAAACCACCGGTGTATCTTCTTAGAAATCTTACAGTACTTTGAAATATCTCCATTGTAGTCATAATCTCAGTTAACAGTATAGTTGAATGATGCTCTGTGTTACCATTCTCATTTGTTTTGGGATTCACTTTCAAAAATAATATCCTCTCTAGCACATATAAAGTCTATGTACATAAATAATCTCTATGTGTACTTTTGACCTAAGGCTTGAGGCTGTGAAGCACAGTGAATTTGAAGGAGACAGGAAACCATGAAAAAGTCACGAGCAGCTATTGCACGTCTGACCATTAGGTACAATAAGTAGAATTTTAAAATAGGATGCAAATAAAATTGCTCAAAATCAGAGAGTTTGCTAAATAACAAAGCTCCGTAGAGCTGCATAGTGAAGAAAATTAGCTTTGAAGGGAAAAAAAATCATTACGTACAGTGAAGGGGAAGGGCATGTATCCTTACCCCAAAGTTAGCACTCATCTTGACCACCATTAGTGGGTGCCTTTTGATTTCGACCTTTCATTTAAATGGTCTTTTAAGAAAAAAAATCCTGTAAAACCCACATTTTTTTCCAGAAATTCAAATCAATTTGAAATATATAAAAAGATAGGAATTTATACATATAATTTAATCATTTCTAATGTATGTGCACGTAATTATGATTTCTTCATTGTAACAGAGCAAATTTTATTTTCCACTGATCTTATCTTCAAAAAGGTGTAGAGAATTTCAGAATACAAATCACTGAAGATACCATACTCAATATGATTTCATCTATGTTCCAAAACTATAGTTTGAAATATATGGTCTCATTATATTATGAGGTTCTGTGGTATTTTGAATGTAATTTTCCGCATAAGCTCATTGGGAGCAGCACTATTAGAAGGTGTGGCTTTGTTGGAGGAAATGTGTCACTATGGAGGAGGACTTTGAGATCTCATATATGCTCAAGCTATGTGCAATGTCTCAGATCACTTTCTGTTGCATATATATCAAGATGTAAAACTCTTAGCTGCTTTCACAATAGCATATCTGCCTGAATGCCAGCATGTGCCACTATAGGGATAATGGACTGAACCTCTAAACTGCAAACTACAAATTAAAGGTTTTCCTTTACAAGAGTTGCTGTGGTCATGATGTATACTCACAGAAATAGAAACCCAAATTAAGACAGAAGTTGATACCAGAACTAGGGTACTGCTCTGTTAGGATTGATCATGTTTTGGTTGGAGGAATTTAGATTTTGGTTCTTGGATTAGGAAAGCGGGAATACTTTAAACACTCTTTAATTCGCCGTGCCTTAGAAGCAGGGAGGATAGCAGTACTAAGTGTGACTTAAACTGGGTGTGGGGGTAGGGGGCTGACTCAATAAGTGTCAGGGAAGAGTTATAGTATTTTCCCTAGAGACCATTCTTGTGATATTTTGGTAGGGAAAGTGGCCATGTTTTGCTCTTGTCTGAAGAGTCTGTCTGCAACTAAAGTGAAGAAAATTGAATTAATTCTTTGGGCAGAGGATACCCTCAAAATAGCCTACTATAGTCTCTGTCATGTGATTACTAGTGTTCATGCTTATGAAGGTTTATAATGAAAAAGAGCAAGCAGAGGAGAAAAGGGGAACCAGGAGGTAGAATGGAGCTAATGTGTGTGTGTGTGTGTGTGTGTGTGTGTG